GAAGAAAATGGTATCCAGAAGTTGCCCTAGCCGAGCCAATCTCCTGACATATACCCCATCGAAAACCTCTGGGCCATACTCGACCGGCAAGTCAAGAAACAACCAGAAAAAACCAACTTAGAAGAGCGATCTACACCAAGTTTTGAAGCAAGAGTGGGCAAAAATCCCACAATCTAAAACTGACGAGATGATTCTCACGATGCCCCAAAGGATCAACGAACTCCACGAAGCGAAAGGAAGATCAACTAGATATTAATTAAATTATAAATATATCAATTCATGTGAATATGACTGAAAATTTTCATTTTTTCTGAAAAGGTGGTGTCTATTTACTTGTGACCACGCTGTGTATACTTGACTTTACAATAACTACACCAAGAAAAATAAGATACTCAGAATTTTACAACGTATCAACCTTACGATTACTGACATTGACAGAAAGAATATTTGTCTAGTATATGTTCAGATGGTTTTCCTATATATATAGGTAATATCTTAACTGCGAAGTAAGATTTTCATCTCGTGTCAGAATTAGTCATTTTACTGCTAGTCTTAAAGACAAAATTACATTAATACATAAATGTGGTATTTATAATATCTCTCGTCACGTGTATAATGTAAAGATTTCAAATCTAGATTTAATGAGTATAAATCGGCTATAAAAAACTTATGCTAATTGCTTGGTCGAAGTTTTGTTTTGTTCGAGATAGGAAAGGTATATAAACATCGAAATACTGTTTCACTATCTCCTCCGCCATGATGGTGGGTCTGTAACTCAACGAAACATTTAGAAGCTTTTTAGAAAAATGTCTGGTGCTTTTAATAACAGTGCTAAAGTCTTTATATTGTGCAATTCTAACGTTGTCCTTTTGAGTTTTTTTTATAATAAGTAAATACTATTCTCAACTTTTTAACGCAAATTGGAGTTTATTACTAGACACTTGAACAGTTGAAACTAGATTAGCGAACACTTGAAGGTTATCGATAACTCCTGATGAATCTGAAATTGCGAAATATTGAGCAAATAAAAATGTATTCTGGAGATATGGGATGTTACTTATTTCTATTGATGTAAATAACAATAAATGTTAATATTATCGAAACTTACCTGAAATCTTTTTCCATATGTAATGAATACACACTTTGGCCATCAAAATCCCATTGTGAAGGCTCATTAACCAGTTTTAGTGGAAGCTGTATATCACTCTTGGGTCTTTCGGAGGTGTCATCTTCAAGCAAGTCATAGTAATCTTTTCTTTTGGAGAGCTTTTTGGGAACACGCAGTCCTGAAATAATCTTTCATTTTTAGAAAATGTGGACTTGTGGGGTTTCAAGGAATTTGAAATTTCGTCTGCTATCATTGAGAAACGACGTGGGGTGGAAATCGGGGGTAGAGACCATGAATCTACGTGACCAGTAGAAACGGAACTTCTGGTGCTATCATCAATATACATAATATCGTCCAAAAACGAAGCTTGATTAGACACTCCACGTTTGGATAGGGGATCAGATGATGTCTGAAATGTATCTGATGGTTGCTGATGATTTTGTCTAGAATCTGAGAATGTCCTGAGTGCTACAAAAGATTTCAATTTAAACTTCTCTTCTATAAATGGATCTGATTTGAGTCTGTCTTTCCAGTTTAGAAGTTTTGCAGGACATGACATAGAAAGTCTGGTTTCAATGAAAGGTGTCTCTGAGCAGCTCGGCTGATGACTTCTGATTTTGTTATGACACCTTTCTTCCATTTTACGAATGGCAGCGCTAGTCGCAACTATCCACGATTCTATATCCTTTGCATCGTGGCAAGATTTTAAAACCTTTTGACCGTGAATTTGGCAATGTGTTGTGTTAGTAGCTGTAGGCCATGATTGATTATTTTCAGAACCTGAGTATGAGTTCAAACACCCTTGGTCTACACTCTGATTAAGAGATAGGTTAGAAGTTGTTACCCACGATTCTCTGTCTTCAGAATCGGTCTGGTCTTCCATGTGAGGAAAGAATAGGTTATTACTCGTCATCCAAGATTCACTTTCATCAGAACCCGCCTGGTAAAGAGAATGGTTGCTAGTTGTAATCCAAGAATCACTGTCTTCAGAATCAGATTGGTCTTCCATTTGGGAATATGACTGATTAGTAGTTGTCATCCATGATTTTTTGGTATCGTTACTGAAGTAGTAATTCCAACTCTGCTTTTGCTCCATCATACACATGGCTGTAACTAAGGAATTCAATAGCAATGACATGGTTGGAAATGGTTTTTGAGCATTGTTCTAGTCTTTCCTTTTATTGGACCTACGAAAATAACAGAAAATCAGTTACCCTGAATGGTTTTTCAAAACGTAAGTACGTGCCTATTACTATTTTAATGTTTTACATGTCACACACAGCGTTCTCTAAATTTATGTTTACACATCAGTAAATCCAGTTACGGCTGCACACGTGTGAAAACACATTCAACTTAAGAAATTACAACGCACCTTGTGTTCTTTTATCCTACACACTGATCCCGTAAAAAGAAAACGATTACAGCACAGAATAACGAGGTAAGAAAATCACAGCGTATCAAGCGAGTACGATCGTCCTGGAAATGGAAGAATTATGTACATTGGTCTAAATACTACACTTAGCCGAGTGTGGCCTAATGGCTAGTATGCCGGACTGTGGATCCAATATTCGAGCTACTCACTTACGGGACGTGGTTACTTTAAAAAAGTGACGGTCAAATCCCATTATTCGGTGTTACAAGAGTAGCCTAAGACATGGTGGTGTTGACTAGCTGCCTTCTATCTAATCTACGACTTCAAAACTAAAGGCTGCTAGCGCAGAAATCCCTCTAGTAGCTTTGAGTGAAATTCAGCAAACAAAAATGGCCACCTTGCAAACCAGAATTGTACTTATGGCAAACTGATTCGAATCCATGCGATACTACAAAGTATTCCCCGTACTTTAAGCTGTGGGTTCGTTATAAGAGTGACAGTTAATCCCTTAACATAGATGGGGTGTGATAGTGTGCTGTCGATTGGCTGCCTTTCCTCTGGTTAGTAACATAAAATTAGGAATGGACGGCAGATAGACTTAGTAGCTAAGCCATAAGTACAAACTACAAATATTAACTGATGTTTCAAACTACCGTATTAACTATATTATTCACCCCTTTGAGATTGGAGGTCTTAAAATGGATACTATAAAAAAAAAGAAAGAAAAATGTATCCTAATCAGACTAACAACATTTCCCCAAGTTAACAAGTGCGTGCGAACGAGTAAAAAACAATTTTTAATTATGTTTACTTTTTTTTTTCCTTATGACGTGATTTAACGTTTTATTTTATCTAGAGAAGACAATTTGAGACAAAACCTGTCGGGGTTAACAAGGAATGTAACTCATTAGTGAGTACTCCATCTGGCCAGTAGTGTCTGCTAACCGGAGACTTCTTCTCAATTAGTTGAATAAAAGCATTGTTCATGCACGGTAGAGATAGATAATAATATAAATTATTGCATGAACCACTTTTTACATTCGAATCTCCTTTAAAGCACATGCCTGTGCAGCTCTAGATAATTTTTATGCATCTACTTTTAAACAAATAAAAAGATCGAAACGTTTCTAATAAAAGGAACGAAAGCGCATAACAATTAACCTAAAATGTTAACAGTATGCTTAAAATAAAGATGGCGGTTCGGAGGGCAAAGAAGAAACTGCGGTTAGAACGATGTTAAAACTTACCTAAAAGTCAGAATTCTAAATTTGATACTGAAAATATTCCTGCATTTGATCCAAACGAAGTATTTCGTATAATGTCACTCACTATTTGACTATAACAGGAAAAGTGGAACAGTATTAATTACACAGAGAGAGAGAGAACCGAAATATTCGGCGTGGTCAACTTATAAGTCGTAGAAAGTTACAGTAACAGAGGTTTGTTTTAAAATTTTCGCGCAAAGCTACACGCAGAGCCGTCCCTAATTTGAACTGATAGAGTAGCGGGAAGGCAATTAGTCAACAGCACTCAGAAACAACTCTTGAACTACTCTTGTTTGAAAGAATAGTGAGATTTGGTTGTCACGTTTATAATGCACCCATGGCCCCAAAGTGTGAAATACTTTTTTTGTGGCAACGGATAACAAACCATGATTTCTTGGATTCAAATATCGAGCATGCTAACCAATGGCTACGACCGGGTGACAATAGAAGACGAAAAACAATATTAGTTACAGAGAGAGAGAGAGCTAAGTTTATTTTGTAGAGTAGATAAAACAAGGAGTTACCTAATGCTTATCAAACTCAAAAAACATACTTTAGTAAGACTGTGTTTATATGTACTTCTGACGGATAAAAAGTCTACTACGAGTGCTCCTGCTTGTATTTGCTTAACATAAAGGTAAATCAATTCAGACTTGTGTATCAGAAGTTTGAAACAAATCTATTCAACAAGACAGAAATATTTCCTTTGATACGACGTACTTGTGTACCTTTTTAACAACACAATTTATCTTTCAGGAATTTAATCTCGTGAACAGGTAAAAGCTTTCACTTTTTAGTACATTGTGTATAACGTATTTCTATTTCGCGCTAAAAATGAGACCAACTCTACAAGATATCTAGGGGTGGCTCGAATGAAATATTATTTTGTATTTTCAACCTGAACCACATTTTAAGCGACACACGGGCTATAAGGCCATGTCAGAGATCCCAAAATTTAGATGTAGGAGTCTCTTAAGCAAAGAGCAGGATTGACTGTCACTTTTTATAACGTTGTCATAGCTGAAACTACGAATCGTATTCAGTGGCATGAAGCGGGCTCGAAACTTGGATTTTTTATAAACTTTTGCCTCTGAATTGAAAAACACGAGTACTTAATCAGTTTAATGAGTCTATTTTATATTTTCCACAAAACAGGGTATGCAATTGGCTTCTAATGAGGTCATTAGAGATTTATTAACAAAAGAAGAATGGAGGGGAACATTATCTAACAATGTCCTTTATATAATATGTTCTTCCTTAACACGTACCCTCAACTAGTTTTCGTGATGTTACCCTAGACAAGGTACAAATTTCTCGATCATTATTTTTACCGCCACACTACACTGAGTGCAAGAACACTTGATGACTTTTTATCTGAAAGCTGTTGATAGAATCTTGTGATATACTGATTTAAAATTACCTATCTTAAAGCAAGAAGAACTGTATATCATGTATTGTTAGCATGCACATTGATAAACATAATAGAAATATACATATTAAACATATACATGAATTTCTTGCTTTAAATGTAACAAGTCAAAAGAATCATTGTTCTATAGTATCATAGATCACAATAAGTGCATCAATAATTATGATATTTAAATGTAACAAGACAAAAGAATCATTGTTCTATGGTATCATAGATCACAATAAGTGGATCAATAATTATGATATTCAAATGTAACAAGACAAAAGAATCATTGTTCTATGGTATCATAGATCACAATAAGTGGATCAATAATTATGATACAATGATTATGATATTTAAATGTAACAAGACAAAATAATCGTGGTTCTATGGTATCATAGATCACAATAAGTGGATCAATAATTATGATATTCAAATGTAACAAGACAAAAGAATCATTGTTCTATGGTATCATAGATCACAATAAGTGGATCAATAATTATGATATTCAAATGTAACAAGAGAAAAGAGTCATTGTTCTATGGTATCATAGATCAGAATATGTGGATCAATAATTATGATATTCAAATGTAACAAGACAAAAGAATCATTGTTCTATGGTATCATACAATAAGTGGATCAATAATTATGATACAATGATTATGATATTTAAATGTAACAAGACAAAAGAATCATTGTTCTATGGTATCATAGATCAGAATAAGTGGATCAATAATTATGATATATCAAATGAAGATTTAACGATTTTACGAATGACGGTTTGTTAGAAAGAGGAAGTGAAAAAAGGCCAATTGTAATGTTGAGTTGTAAGACTAAAGTAACAAACCTTTAAAAGTAAGTGTTCTAAAGGCTCTATCTCTAATAATAGTCATGACTTTGTTAGCATTAATTAGTGGTCCATAAGTCGCCTTGTTTCGTTACTTAATTAATGTTTTTGATAATTCTCTATATTTCTTAACATTGGCAGTACTTTTCGGCTGTTAATCTGCAACCATCCTCAAGTGTGTACCCCTGAAAAGAACTTTGCGGAATTCATATCATGGATCTTAGAAACAGGATTGCTATCCACCGAACAGAACTTATGTCTTTCGGCGTTGACTTCAGACGCTGTATTTGTGTTTTGTACTGATTGTTTTGCACTCTTTTGTACTGAATATTGTGCAATACGACGCTCTGACTGGTTCCCTTGCGTGGCTTTCTAGTTTTACGCAAGGAACGTTAAAAATATATTTAAAAATTGAATGTTAGCTACGTTTGTTGGAGTTTGTAAATTTCACTGAAACGCAAGAAAACAAAATCCTTTACCGTTATATAACTGTTCGACATGCCTCCCCCTGCGGGGGCGCCGCACTGATTGAACCCCTGATATGAGTCTGGAATGGCCTGATGGGTCGCAGGTTTAAATCCGCGTCACCGAATATGCTCGCCCTTTCAGCTGTGAGGGCCTTATAATATGACGGTCAAGCCCACTTTTCGTTAGTAAAATAGTAGCTGCCTGCCCTTTAGTCCATCATTGCTAAATTAGGGACAGCTAGCGCAGATAGTCCAAGAATAGCTTTGCGCGAAATTAAAGACAAGACAAGAATCTCCGATATGGCTTAAGCTAACTTGTTGACTCTAATTACCCCCACGATAGCTAACAATCTCAGTAAAAAAGTCATGTAAGATCAAGAATATTCACGATATGTGATTTTTAATGCACAAGATTCTTGCTTCTTTTTTTTAAAATGCCAAAACTTTGGTTTCGAAGCTGTAGTTGGCCTTAAACAGCTCTGCACTTAAACAAGCAACGAAACATAAAAAGTTACTTCATTTTAAGATACTCTGATGATGAAAAACAAAAGTGTAAACAATCTTTGATTCTTATAGTGATGTATTAAATATACAACTTTTTCAGAGTTAAGAAATGTGACAAAACACACCTTCAAATTAGATGTTAAAACGTCTGTAATAACACTGATTTGGATTAATATTTTCTGTGCCAATCACAGGGATCAAACCCCCAATTTAAGCGTTATAAGTTCTCAAGCGTACCGCTTAGCTACCAGATGTTTTAAAAATCTGGAAAGTGGTTTGGCTTGGTTGTTGTTAACCGCAAAGTTACATAACAGGCTATCTGTGTTCTGCCCATCACAGGTATCGAAGGCCAAATACTATCGTCGTAAGCCTGCAGACATACTGCTGAGCCGATGGGGCAATTGAAAGTATAAAATAAAATAATTTAAAACATACTGTATGTTTCTAGGTATATAAGAAGCACATAAGCATGTTGATAAATAGGTGAACCAGTTCGTCACGCTTACTGCATAAAAATACAGGTGTTGTAACATTAAGAGGTTCAACTGATAACACTGATAATCAATGATAACATTAGTCGGACAACATGATCAGGCATACACAACAAGACCTGAATTTTCGTTGAGATAAACTAATGGAATTGTGTCAGAGTATGATGTGCATAAAAATCAAATCGGTGTTATATTTATGATTCTGTGCAAGATCAAAACAAAGCCAATACTAAAAATAAATAACGGGGTTGACTGTACTTATGTAACATGCCCACAGCTGAGAGTCCAAGGCGTGTTCAGCGACATATCGTGGATTTAATCTTGGACCTTTCGATACACAGCGCGGCACTCATCAATTTTGACATTTTACTGTACCTTAGGATCATTTACAGATTATGGAACCTCATATAAGTTGGACACCGTTTTCATAATTTTGTGGTAGAGGCAGTGTGGCAGAGGCATTTCATCAACAGACTTGTAAAATCCCTCCAAACTTGAACGAAAGAGTGTATGACCGTTATTCCAAAAAACGAAATTGTTTAATTTGTTTAATTGTTTAAAGCAAAAAAAGGCAAAATGTAAAATATTTCGAAAAATGATGTATTCAATGCTTCTATGAAAACAAAATAAGTTCTGTACAGCAGAGCATTTCAGACAGCAACCAGCCCGAAAATCATACCTCAAATTAATCAAGGCCAACGTTTCTCATCCTGAAAGTTGTGGTCACGAAAGAAAACTCATAAACCAAACAAAAAGGAAACAAAACAACAACAACATTGCAATGAAGCTGGGCGGCATACCTCTGGCACCGTTAACAATATACTAAACAAAACATGAAGTTGACGATGGCTTACAAACCAGAAGTTCACAAGCTAAGCTTTTAGGTACAACACAAAGGCAGCAACTGTTTTGATACCTACTAAGCCCCTCAATGCAATTCCAATGATCTTTTTATGTCTTTGGTACGTTTAAGCTTGCGATTGGAAGTTTTATACCCAACTAGCCGGTTTAAGAAAATCAACACAAAAGTAGGATAACATTTGTGTGTTTGTTCTTTGAAGAAGCCTGTTTTTATGGAAGTATCGTTGCGTCGCGATTATTAAGAAACAGGGGAAGTAGTTAAAACATGATTGCCGGGGAATTCAACCTTCAATAGTAATATCTCTAACTTAATCATCGCTTCCTAAAACAGTAAATTACCTCTTTCTGTCCTGTGGATTGTATGAATTGGCGATTAATTTCATGCAAAAAAGGAATCTTTTTGAAAAACAAACTTATATCAAGACGTGGGTTTGGTAATATTGGGAACTGTCCTTGATATCTGAAGTAATTGTTTCTGATTATTTCCTGCCAATTTTAATCTGAATATTTTATTACAATTATTATTTTGTTGAAGGGGCAAACTAGAGACGCTTCGTTTCACAATAAAACATTACCTGATTGTTGTATATAACAACTAGTCAGTGAGACCAAGTTCGGATAATTTGGTGGGTTACAGAGGGATGTCACAGTTTCTAGTATTCAAGTTAGAACTAAAAAATGTACCCCAATAAC